ATAGTGGGATTGGCCCGGGAAAAAGGGAAGTACAATGCCTGCATTTTAAAGTAGGGGTTTGGGATATTGGGCATTTTGGGAGGGATTGTTTGGTTTTTTTATAGATATGTTAAACTGTTGTATTCGACACCCCTTCAAAAACAGTGATTATGTGTGGTGTGGTGAAAGTGTTGAAAGTGATGAAACATTTTTTTTTTTGGGGGTTTTTTTTTTTTTTTGGGTCACCCTGCCTCGGGGGGAGAAAAGGCCCACTTGTTAAAAAAAAAAAAAAAAAAAAATATAATTATATTATTATTTGGCATAGGTTTGGTAAAACGCAACCGCCCAGGAGGGCTACCCTTATCCAAGTGTTGTCAAACGAAAAAATGAATTGTTTTACGAGGGGGTTTTTTGGTGTCTTTTGTCTGTTCATAAAAACGCAAAATTTTAGGTATGTCTTGCACTTTACTTGCATTTAGGTCACACTAACATATTGTACAAGATATTATACACACCACCCCTTGGGTTTTCTTCTATTTTTTTTCTAGTTTTTGTTCTGTTTATTTCCTCTTACCCCTGGGGAAGTGGAACAGAATTTTCCTCCGTAAGCCATGGTGTTGTAAGAGGCGCTAAAAATGCCCGGGAGCAAGGGGCATAACCCGTTCCCGTTTATACTAAATTTAAAAAGAGAAAATGTGTTTTTTTTCTTTGGGGGCCCCCCCACCTCAGTGGGATACGGGTGGTACGTTTAAAGAAAGGAAAAAAATATAATATTATATAATATACATGTGGTGTGTGTGGTGTGTGTTGTGTGGTGGGTTTTGTGTGTGTGTGTTGGGTGTTTGTGGTGGGGGTGGTGTGTGTGGTGTGTGTGTGGTGTGGGGTTTGTAAATATTATAATTTAATATTTTTATTATATATATATAAAGTGGACCCCCGAAACGATGGCAGCATAGCGATTTTTCCGCATAACGATTACTTTTTCGCAAAATTTTTGCCCCGCTACCATTAAAAAACCCCCACCCATTTCGTCCCGGGCGGTCCTTGGCCCCCAGCCACCTCAATGGCCGCTCCGTCCCATTGTTTTCCAGCCCACCTCCCGGTAAAAATCCAAGCAACACTCGGAATTTTTCGTATTATTTCAGAAATTTTTGGTTCTGTTTCTGGAAAAAAAGTGACCATGGGCCCCAAGAAAGCTTCTAGTGCCAACCCGTGGTAAAAAGGGTGAGAATTATATGGAAAATAAAAAGATTTTGAAGGGTTTGGGGTAACCCTGGAAGCTATGCCAGTTTGGGTCCCTTGTGCCTACTTTAAAGTTAAGGGGAAAAGTGTCAGGGGGTTAACTGAAAAACCCTTTTTTAGATGAAATCACCCTACACAGCTGTTGCAAGCCGTGCTTGTGACTATTTCAATGACAATGTTATGGCCATTTTGGGAAAATCTTGAAGGAACGGGAGGTAAGGCTCTATGGACAGATTTTTTTGGCGCAGAGGCCAGGACCCTTTAACTGGTCCTGTGGGTTAAAAGAAGAAGGGAAGAACCCCCAAAAAGGACTTGTACCCCAAGTCCTATGGAAGGGGTTCCCCTTTTAAAAGTAAAAAGTAATGCTTCCCCTCCCCCATCCCTAATCATCACCAGATTTTTAAAAGTAAAGTATGTAATTGGGATGCCTTTTTCTTTTGGTGTATTAAAAAATTTAAAAAAAAACAACTTTTTTTTCCTTTCCCCCCCCCCCCTTTTTTTAGGGTTTCCCCCCCCCCCAACCCCCCCCACAAAAAAAACCCCCCCCCCCCTTTTTTAAAAAAAAAAAAATTTTTTTCATTTTCAAAAACCAAAAAAACCTTTGGGGGCACAACGGAAAACTTTTGGGCACCGATTAAATTTTATTTTTTTTTTTTTAAAATCCCGCTCCCCCAAACCCAAAAAGAAAAAAAACCCCAAAAAGAAAAATTCTTTAATTAAATTAAAGAATTATTACTTTTTTGGCAGAGGTCCAGAAACAAAATTTAAAGGGCCCCATTAAAAAAAACAAACTTTTTCCTAAATCAATATAAAATTTTTGCACTTTCTTCCCCCCAGGGGGCCAAGTCCCCATAGAAAATACCCTTTCCCTGAACCCCTCCAAATTTCCCTGCTCAATCAAAAGTTAGTCCAAGTACCATTCCTCCAAAACTCCTATCCAACCCTCACGCAGCTTCTTTGGAATCCCAAACCTAAAAAAAACCTTTTCCCCCCTTCTCCAACCCCTTCAGGCGACCCCTACCCCCCTTCCTTTCCCCTTGTTTTAAGCTTCCATTTTTACTTTACCCCTTTCAAAACCCCCCCTCAAAACCCCTCCCTTTGCCCTCTGACTAAATTTTTTTTAACCCACCCTTTCCTAATTTCCACACTCCGAATTTCTGATAATATTTAACCACACTTTCCCTTAAACAGGGCATCTCCACGCCCCCAACCGTCCCTCGCTGCTGATTTACCACCCAAACTTCAACCCTATAAGAGTGTTGGACTATATATTCATCTTCCCCTTTTGCCTCCATAGATAAGTTTTTTTACTCCCATTTAAACCTCAACGCACCCCTACCTTTTTTCCCCCCCTCAAATTTTTGATTAACCCATCCCCTTTATAAATCCATCCGCCCACAGTCAACTCAATATCGAAAACATTCACTTCTTTCCCTACTCCCCCCCAATTTGATATCCAATTTTTCTTTATCAAAAACTTTTTAACCCTCATCACCTTACTCTTTTTTATTTTACTTTCAAATTTCTACCTTTACACCATTCCCCAAAATCTCCCCTAACCTTTGCAAATTTTTCTTTAGAATCCCCAAAGCACGTTCATCAGCAAAAAAAAACGTGTCAAATTTCCCCTTTGAATTTGTCCCCATAATTTATCCCACCCCTTCCCAAACACCCTTGCATTTACTTCCTTTTAAACCCCCTCTTAAAAATTTTTTAAACAAACCCGGTGACATTACACATCCCCGTCTAAACCCCTTTTTTCGGGAAGTATCTCCCCCTTTCACCAAAACCCAAACTGGCCTCACTTCCCATAAAAACCCCTTTCAGCTTTTTTAACTTACCACCTATTCCATTACTTGCAACATTGCCACATTGTCCTTTTCCCCTCTATCATTGCCTTTTCTAAAATTTTTTATATATATATATATATATATATTTATAATATATATTATTATTTTAATTTTTATTTTATATATATATATATATATATAAATATATATATATATATATTATATATTTTTATATTATATATTATATATTAAAATATAGTGAAACCTTCCCTTGCGAAACCTCTGATAGGAAATATTAAGGAGTTTTTGTCTGTTCCAGACAAAAATCGTTGGCCCCCGCCGCCGCCACCTATAAGACATATTTTTCATTCTAGAGTATATATCATTTTCTATGTTATTTAATTTTTTGTTATGTCATATCAATGAATGTGATAGAAAATAAGTGTTGAGTTTATGATGCGAAAATTCAAGGAGTATTTTTCCTTCTCCAAAAATTGTCGGCCACCCCCACATATATGATGACTATTTTATTAAATTCTAGAGTAATTCAGGTTTTATTTTTTTTTTTTTTTGTTTTGTCATAAAAAAAGATAGTGATAGATAAATAAGCCGTTAAATGATATTAGTGAAATTTTTCAAGAATTTTTGTCCGCCCAGACAAAAATGCGTCCCCCACCCCCACCGCCCTTTCCACTACATGAATTACAATTTTATTTATTTTAGAGTATATATCAGGTTTCTACATTATAAATTTTTTATATGTCATATTTGATCAAGTAGATAATAAATAAGCCTAAAATTGATATTACAAAATTATTTAAGTACAGAATTTTCCCCTGGAAGGATTAATTGCATTTAAATTAATTTAAAAGAAAAATTGACTCTGCAAGTGAGCAAAACCAGTTGCGAGCAAGGTCATGGAATGGATTTAAACCGCAAGAGAGGTTCCACTGTATCGTAATTGTTATAAACAATCGCGGTTTAACAATCCCATTCAAGCACTGAAAATGTTTTGAAATTTCTTTTCATGCAAAAAATATTTTAAAAGCTAAAACACCCACCTCGAATTAGACCGAGTTTAGTTTCCCAGAAAACCGGGGTAAGTCGAAAAAGGGGTAAGTCGAACTTTACTAAAGAAAATTTAACATACATTTTTGTAAAGACTTTTTTTTATTGTTTTATTTTTGGGATTTCATTTTTACTTTACTTTTTTTTGTGTTTTTACGGATTTTTAACTGTAAGGTTTTGGATAAAAAATTGTGACAAAACAATGTTTTTTTATTTCCCCCAAATTTGGGATAAAAAACACGGTCCTAAGTGAGTGGTTAAGTCGAGCAGGCGTAAGTCGGTTGGTAGGTTACTGATTTTATTTAGAATAATTTCAAAAGCATTTTTTTTTTGAACACCCACAATCTTTCACTGGGGTTATGGTGATTATAAAAAAAAAAAAAAGATTTACTGTCACTTTTTCAATCATTTCCTGCCAAAAGAGTGCTGGTATAACAAATTTAGATGATCCTACAAAATGCAACATCCCAAAACCCCCTTTCAGAGTACAACCTGTACTTTCCACTCCAAGATCATGTCCAGCTACGTTTTTCCCGAATCTCTTCATAAATGTTTCTTGCTAGCATAATAAACAGGTTAACAGAATGGGGTTACATATGAAAATACTGTATATAACTATATACCCTTCCATGGGGGGGGAAAGGGCCCTTTTTATGAATGAATTCTTTTTCGCAAGGTGGGAGACGGCCCGTGTGTTAAAAAATTTTTTATCATTTTAACACATCGGCCGTTTCCCACCAAGGTAAGGTGGGCCCGAAAAAGAAAAAATTTTTTCCCTCTTCCTCCCCTCACTGTCTTTCCAAAGGACCTTTCATACAATTATAAAACGCAACATTAAGAGTACACTCAACCTTTCATGAAACATAATCTTGCACATTATCATTTTAAAAATATTTACATAGTAAACAGGCACCCACATACCTCAGTGATGCCCTGACATCTGCGTAGATTAAGCTTCTTTAAGTTGGGCAGGTACTGACACACGGCTAACACTGCATAATCTGTAATGCGTGAGCACAGACTCAAGTCTAGATCTGTGATGGTCTTTTGGTTTTCACATAGAAGCTGAATTCCACTTTTTGACACCTGGTCACATGACATCAAATGTACCGATTCAAGCTGAAGGCCCGGCACCATTGATAAATTATACAGGGACTCACTGTCTGCTATTGTTCTTCCTAAACTTATTTCCTTCAATGTACTGGACTTTTCTTCTATAAATTTTAATATATGTTTAAAAGTTAAAACATGATCTGACACACTGATTCGGCCATCTTCTGGATAGAATCTCTTATAGATTGCTTCATGGAATGTAATCTGACAGCCTGCCAAAGAGAGCTTTCTCAGAGGCCCCACAACAGAGATAATACGGGAGAAGAGTGAATCTGTCAAGTATCTAGAGCAAGCCAGATGAAGTTGAGTCACATTCTTCAGGGAAGCTGAGAGCACTTTAACATCTTCAGGGTTGTTTAAAAGAGTACCTAGATGGAAATCAGAAGACACAATATTAAAGAAATATATTGATGTCTACTGCTCACACATTGTACATGTACTGTATTTTATCTTTATGGAGGCTAGCACAGAACCATTACATAATGTAATCTGAAAAATAAACTGTATCCAAATAAGAAGCACAAAAAGAATATGTATTTGGAGGTAAAAAAAAAAAAAAATGGGCAAGCTTAGAAATACTAGTATCTACCTGCCATAAGAAGGTGAGCGAAGCCAACTAATCTCAAGTCTTCTAAGCTGCTACATTGTACCAACAAGCAGATAAAATTCTGTTCACTGATATCTACATTTAACAGCTTCAAACTCTTCATACTGCTCGAGACTTTCCTCCAAACATCAGCAAACTGATTCTGCAGCTTGATATCCACTTCCTGCAACAGTGAAGGAAATTATCTTATGTTTATTGCTGCACGTCTTCCATTTAGAATCCTCAGAATTTTCTGTCATTCTGAAAATTTCCGAGTTTCTTACTGCAGCTCTTAAAATCAGAATTTTTTTTTAAAGCTGCCACTCTTCAATTCTTATTTTTTTTTGTTTTAATACACTGGCCATTTCCCACTGAGGTAGGGGGACCCAAAAAAGAAGAAACACTTTCAATTAAATAGCATAATGCATACAAATAGATGCAAAAATGATTGATGTTAAACAATGATGTAAATAAAATTACACTGCCACTTTAATTCCCTACCAGACAATGAAATAAAATGGCCACAGCAAATGCTACAAAAAGCATAGGAAGCAAAATAATAAAAGCGAGAATGATCTGAAGAAGAAATTTAAAAAAATTACTGTATATTGAAAATCAGTGACTACGTGAAAGTGACAATGTGTCTACAGTGACCCAGTAAAAGAAAAGACTGAAGGAGAAGCAAACGTCAGCAACAATTCAGTAGTGTCAAGAAAATGTTCAGCCGAATCATAAATAAACACTGAATGATAGCTGCAGATATGTGTTGGGCACAAAAAGGGTATACTGTCAGCAATAATGAAGAAAAGACATAAGTAATTGCCTATTTCTAATTACTTACTATATTTGTAATTACCTATTCAAAGCTGCAGAAACAGAGCTATGCTTGTAGTGTCCTGTCTTCAGTACTTTATCATAGTTTTTTTAAAATTCCACTTACTATGTCCTCTTAATTCATTCTACTGATCTACTGTTTTGTTTGCAAAGAAAAACTTTTTGAAGTTGCCCCTACATCATGGCCATTACACCTCTCAGAGAAAGTAACTTGATAAATCAAATCACTGACTTGAAAAATCAAGTCACCAGCTTGATAGTTTTTATCAAGTCACTGGCATGATGTATCAAATCAATGACTTAACAGTGTTTTATCAAGTCATTTACTTGATAAAACTCTACAGAGAGTCTCAATAAATGGTGGCTCTGCATGTTTGTTTTCTGCATTTCAGATGTGGCATTAATGGGAAGAGCTACAGAAATGAGAGGCAATTTTATTTTGAGGACAGACATAGTAATTAAAAATATGATAAAGACAAAATCAAAGAAGGATATTAAAAAAAATGGATATTTTGGTGTGCGATTATAAATATGGCAGCCCCCTTTTCTTATATTTTAAGCAAAAATATCTGCACAAAATAACTACATCTTAGAGCACTGTATTATAAAGAAACATAAAAGTATGGCTGTAAAAACACTATGAGGAACATTTTCCTCGTACAAGATGGTTAATGCCTAAGAGGACATAAATGAGTTGATTTATCTCTAAAAGACAGTATTAGAAGAATAAGTATACACAGAAGGTCAAAGATGATTATAGAGTTCATTCACATTAACAGTGAATGAGATCACTAACAGTGAAGGACAACATTAATAGTGAGTGCTGACAAGCCACCAGAGAAGCATAGAATTTAATCCATCAATTATATAATCATTATAGCATGTTTGAGTTATCATGTTAATAAAGAAGTGAGTTAATACAGTTAATGTCAGTTCACAAGTTGAAGGAACTAGGTAAAAAAAAATGCAAAGTACAGTACCCAGATACAGTGCCCACAAAAGAAATCATCGGCACACTAGAAATCATCAACAATTTACTATTTGACATCATTTTACATAAAATATAGCAATAAAAGTTTAAATGAAGCAAAGAGCTGCGAAGTAGTTTTCCTTTGCCTTCCAGTACTCAGCTTCCTCTTGGGAGCCTCACATGGAGGGAGACTGGTGGCCACATTCTTCACTCTCTGCACTGTCACTTTGACTGTCTAACTTGCCTGGCTATCTCAATTATTATGTCCTCATCTTGCCAGGGGCCAAAGCAGAAGCATTCTCTTCATACTAAGCTTACAGTGCTCCATTATGATCACTGGCAACCAAATTATAAGCTGTCAAACAATCCAACAGGAACGTCCAAAATGGTAGACAAGCTTACAGCAACTCAGCAAAGTAACTGAGGTTGAGTGATGGGTAAGTCACTAGTTTGTTACTCGTGAGCTGCCTGACATACAATCAGCCTCAGTAACTTTGCCCATAGATAAATTACTAAGAATGATGAAACACTGAAATTTTTTTTTTTTTTTTTCATGTTCTCGGCTCAACAATTTATTCTGCAGGCAATGTAAGTAATCAGCAAAAAGATTAACTGCTAAATTGTTGTTAACAGGGATTTTACTACCCTATTCTGCACTTTTAACCCTTAAACTGTCCAAACGTCCCCAAATTTTGTCATACTGTGCACATTGAGTGCACAGACCCATTCTCTCATGTCTAGGCAACTCAGGCCTATCGTGCCAAGGTTGAAAGCATACAAAATAAAACAGATCTACATTTGGAGCGCTACACACGTGAACGTAGATCTACGTTTGGACAGTTTAAGGGTTAACCTTATTACAGAAAACGTTGAATGAGAGGACCAGTGAATTTATATTCACAAGAACACCTCCCCCACTTCCCCCATCTTCCTCATAACATTCTGAACTGCAATCACTCCAGGATTCAGAAGCCATATGTTCAAATAACCAGTGGCAAGCACATTCTTCACTGAGCTACTACAATACAAGAGGAAGGATAAGGCCCAACTAGGTTTAGAAGATTTAATCACCAAAATCACCTTGAAATCTGGCAGATATGTGGCCGCAAGATCTTTCCACATTATAACCCTAACTGCTGCATCAGACTAATTAACTTGTATCCCGGCAGCAGTAAGGTTTTAATATACATGGGCATATTGCCCTTCTTAAACATACATGAGCATGTTGCCCTTCTTAAACATACATGGGCATGTTGCCCTTCTTAAACATACATGGGCATGTTGCCCTTCTTAAACATACATGGGTATGTTGCCCTTCTTAAACATACATGGGCATGTTGCCCTTCTTAAACATACATGGGCATGTTGCCCTTCTTAAACATACATGGGCATGTTGCCCTTCTTAAACATACATGGGCATGTTGCCCTTCTTAAACATACATGGTCATTTTGCCCTTCTTGAATTCAATTGTTCGCAAGTCGTATGTAGAAGCGTCTCCAAGGTACCAATATGGAGGCATTGACCATTCATCATTAACACACAGACATCAGCAATCACCTTGATAATAAAGGAAATAAATCCACAACCAAAAAATCTCGTCAGGTCAGGATAAAACATTTACCCAGCACTACACAGGATAGAGATAACATTAGCAGTCTTTGCAACATTAAAGAAACAGATAGTATCTGCCACTGGAATGGCTACAAAGAGGCTTTCCATAAGTGGTGTAATTAGGGCCAGGGCCAGCAACAACCCATTGCCAAGCAGAGTCAAGCTCTGGGTCACTACCATAAACCATATAAAAGCAGAAACTTAAGAGCTGCTTCTGCAAAGGAACCAGGCTGGTGGTGGTTCATGCCTCATCAGACATAAGTGATACTCTACAACAACCTGACAAGCAGTGGCACCTTTTTTCTGGGATCACCTCTTACCCTGGATGGCTCACCCAGAATTAAAAGAGCAAGGCTTAGCAAAAATGGCTATTTAGACTGGAAGAGCCAGAGGTGCTAGCAGCATCTCATAAGAAATAGGCAAAATCAAACTAATATGAAAGCCAAAGTTTGTACACTTCATTCATCATTCCTAGATCCTTAGCTGACCTCTATTAATACTTCTGCAGCTAGACACCCATTGGCATACCACTGGATGTGCCACCAGGAGGTTCACTGGAAGGCCCATCTGATAGTCCAATTTCACTAGGCACTAAAGAACACACTAGCACTGCAAATAGTGGAAGAAATAGGATAGTAACAGAGAATGACCCCTTTCCTAATACCCCAAGCCAAATGAAGGAGGGAGGAGGGAGCAATGTTGGATTCTTTGTTAAAGTAACTACTCAAAGTTCACCAGCATGTTATGGTGACCCAGCATGGGGGGCTGGGTTGCACAGTACTGTATTTAGACAGAGTAAAAGGTCATTTGAAGAACAGCTCTGTTATTTTTTTAACACACTGGCAGTCTCCCACTGAGGCAGGGTGACCCAAAAAAGAAACACTTTCACCATTATTGACACTGTTTTGCTAGAAGCACGTGATATGACAGTTTAGGTGTCACTCTAAACAGCAAATATCCCAAACCCCTCTACTAGAGTGCAGGCATTGTATTTCCCACCTCCAGGACTCAAGTCCAACTAACTGGTTTCCCTGAATCCCTGTATATTAGACAGATAATTTCAGGTCTCCAAGAACCACAATAAATTTCATCAGTGTGTGAATAGAGCTGGTGATGGCAATGGGCTAATACAATAATGTGATGGGTTGTTCCCTGATATAACCGATTTCCAAAAAGGAAGGACTGATGTAGTTTTGTAGTATTCAAGTGTAGAGGTTAAATATTTCCACTGTGTTTGGAAGATAAACAGATCACATTCAATTCATTCTTCAAAACAAAGCATATCTGCTGAAGATTTCCAAAGATATAATGAACAAATCAATTTCCTAACAAATAGTTAAAGAACTTTTAGTGACAAGATTGTAAACAAGGCACTGAATGGAGTTTTGGATTGAAGTTGGAATCTATGACAAGCCAGTCCAAAACTATGGGTCATTCATAACGACTCTGAAGGGACTTGAGCCTAAGCTTACCGCAGACATATTGACAGAAGATTCTTCTGTAAAAACCTCCAATTGTGGTCACAGTGGCAGCCCATGCTACCTTCCTAGTGTACAGAAACACACCTAGTTGGGCCAGCATGGTAGTGGTTAGCATATTGGTCTGCAAATTTTAGGACTGGCTTGCCATGAGTTGCAACTCCACTCCATTCAGTGAGCTAAAGAAAAGTTTAACTAGCATAAACAGATATTTATCATATACTTCATTTTTTTTTCATTAACACATCGGCCGATTCCCACCAAGGCAGGGTGGCCTGAAAAAGAAAAACTTTCATCATCATTCACTCCATCACTGTCTTGCCAGAGGGGTGCTTTACACTACACTTAAAAAACTGCAACATTAACACCCTTTCTTCAGAGTGCAGACACTGTACTTCCCATCTCCAGGACTCAAGTCCGGCCTGCCGGATATTTTAGCATATACAAAACCGTTAATAAATACTGCATTCTTTCTTACAGCAATTAAAATACTAATAATTTTACAACACAGTACTTTAACAACTATACAGAACTAAAATAATCCTGTCAAGCAGCTTGTAGCAGAAACACAGCTAAATCATCCTATGGCTTGTAAGTGCAGGAGAGGTAATAACAATAAGACAGTAAAAGCAGTGAAGTCCTAAAGAAAGTGTGGTGCGTGCTTCCTCCATGTGCTCTTAGATACATGAAAGGGAAACATCTGCATCATTTAATTAAGGCATCAATTTTCGGTAGTGAAATTTTTAGTATAAATGTTATACAGAATGTCTTTCTGCTTAAGGAGTAACTAGAGAAGAACTTTGGTGTTCAGAACTAGGACAAAAATTATTTGATAGGTCAATGGATATACCAAGAGAAGATTAAGAATGGCATAAAAAAATATATCAACTAACCCTCCCTAAAGAGACTTCTGGAGCCATTAATGTTGAGAACACGAAGGTCTGTACATGATGCTAGAAGACCAACAAAATCTGCTTGACTCATGCCAGTACTATGCAGGCTGAGGGAGCGTACCTCACTTCCCTTACCCAACCACCAATCCCCCCATACCCCACATATGGACAGGTTCACCTCCTGCAATGGAAGGATGAATGGCTATATACTGAAACAAAACACTAAAATAAAAACAATTTTTATAGAAATTCTCAACATTTTATGAGCAAGAACATTAAATATCAGGCAAAAATAAACATAATCCAAATCTGAAATTAAAATCCATTTAAAAACAACAAATGGTATGGCAAGAAATGATGGGTCAAGTCTATAAAAATTTATATAGTAACATCAAGAGAAATAGGTAAGTGCAGTTAGCCTGAGCATGTCTTGCACTTGCACTTGTACCGGATGATCCACACAGGATTAGCTCTGCATACAAAGTACAGCCTCTCCTCACTTAACGACGGAGTTCCATTCCTGATACCATGTCGATAAATGAATTTGTCACTAAGTGAGGAGCATACTATATTGGTAGTGGGTTTGTGTCAACCATCTTTGACACTGTTTTAATGTTACCTTTGCACCATTTGTAACCGTTTTAGTATATTTTTAAATATTTATGCAGTAGTGTACTGTATATTGTAATAAACGAAACAGAGGAAATCAGCTCTAATATACATTATTTAGGTATGCATACTGGTCAGAGAGCCCGTTGTAAGTCCGAGTTGTCAGTAAACGAGAAGGTCACTAAGTGAGGAGAGGCTGTATAATAATAGTAGCAGTATCAAAATATATTCATATCACTGATGGAGTGTAAATAAAAGCTGGTTTACCAAGAAATGCAGATTCTTGGTCAAGTATTGGTATAGTATCTATTATAGATGAAGGATTTTTATGAAGGAAAGTGCTTGGCCTCTGATCCCAACGATTTAAGGTGCTGTAATAAATTGGATCAAATGTTTTTTTGTAGCTTAAGAAACATGCAAAATGAATAGTGATTACTTTCTAGTAAGGCGCAGTGTGTGCCACATTTTTATTATGACATCATTTGCCATTTTTTTTAAATATTTGATACATATTTGACATGGGTTTAAAATTCTATGTATGGTTAACTACAAAAAATACTAAAATAATACTAAAAATGCTTAAATTGATGATGCATCTGCAATACTGAAGCTTTCTCATCACTCTTCCACACTGAGTGTTCTCCTTTTATGAATCATGTGCACAATGCATGTGTAGTAACTTCCAATGATTGTTATTATTATACTGTAGTCATGAGGAAGTGCTAAAGTTGTAGGGATCACAGAGCACCTGAGGAATGGGAGGTAATCAAAATTGATACAAGGCAGAGGGAAATGCCAATTTCTTGGACTAAGAGCCCTTCAGCATCACAGCATCTCCTTTAAGGGTTGTGTAGTGCTTTTTGAGGGCACTGATAATCTCTTCATCTATGAGCAGAAATATATATATAAACTCTTGCAGGCTTGAACTCGACTCTGACATTATCCCTACTGTCCCTCCGGGAGGAGGGACTTCAATAACATTTTTTTTTTACAGAAAATATTTCTCCATTACACAGAGAAAGCAGCTGTGAAACAAGTCATTAAGCACTTTTGTTTTTATCCAGGCCTCTGTACATGTCCTTCAATACACCAGTATACACTGTATTTTTGCCTTTTAGTTCTTGAAGGTACTAAAAATGACACATTAACATTGGGTTCTTCATATGGTCTCCTTGAAGAGAGGATTTTTTATGTCTGATGGGGACTGTTTGCTTAGGCATCCTTTTCCAGTAGATGGTGGTGGTCTTGTCAGCATTAAACACTTGCCTGTGACATACTTGTGACAGTATCAAGGTTTCCTCTACCATCACAGACTGGCCACAGGTCAAGCATCCATGCTGACTGCCTGGTCAACCTTGTGCTAAAGGCTCACAGGCCCACATAGTTATCACAACCTGGCTGATCAAGACTTTCAAGGAGGTAGTGGTTAGTTTCCTCTTGAAAATTTCTGGCTTCTTTCTGGCAATATTTCAGATTTCTGCTAGTAACTGATTAAAAAGTCTTGGGTTGAAGGGCTTAGACTTCCAGCAAGCACGTGTGAGCATGTCAGATAGGTGCGAGTGGAGGCAAATGGCTTTTATAACTTGATGTACTGTTGGAGAGTGAGCAAGGTAACATTTATAAAGGGATTCAGGGAAACTGGTTAGCTGGACTTGAGTTTTGGTGGAGGTGGGAAGTACAGTGCCTGTACTCTGAAAGAGAGATGGATATATGTTGCACTTTTTAAACTGTAGTATCTGCACATCTCTGGCAGGACAGTGATAAAGTGAGTGATGATGAAAGTATATCTTATTTTTCAGGTTATCCTGCCTTGGTGGGAAATGGCCAGTGTCTCAAAAAAAAAAAAAAAAAAAACAGTGCACTAAATGGGGCTCAATCCTCAAGTATTTTCCATGTATCTTATTAGATATCTCCCTTTTTCATTGGAAGGAAAACAATCCCAGTGCTTTGAAGCATTCTCAGCAGTCTACATTTTTATAAATTTTTTGTTGGTAATTAATGGCCTCTGTACATTTTTCAGTTCTGATATCTCCTCTGCCTAAAAGGGTCTGTGAGCATAACAGTTGTCCGACATGTCTGTTTTCCATGATGACCTTGAAAATACTATACCAGGATAATACAGTGGACCCTCGACCAACGCTGGCATCATCTAACGTTAAATCCGACTAGTGATACATTTTAACGCAAAAATTTTGCTCGACTAGGGCTAAAAAACTCGACCAACGAGATTCATTCTGTCCGAGACACGTCCACTTGCGGCCAGTGTTTACAAGCCAGCCAGCCACCATGGCCCAATCCAAACATACAATTGGAACATTTCATATTATCACAGCATTTTTAGTGATTGCACCTGCAAAATAAGTCACCATGGGCCCCAAGAAAGCTTCTAGTGCCAACCCTACAGCAAAAAGGGTGAGAATTACTATGGCTATGAAGAAAGAGATCATTGTTAAGTATGAAAGTGGAGTGTGTGTGTCAGAGCTGGCCAGGTTGTACACAAAACCCCACTCAACCATCGCTACTATTGTGGCCAAGAAAACGGCAATCAAGGAAGCTGTTTTTTCCAAAGGTGCAACTACGTTTTCGAAACTGAGATCGCAAGTGATAGAAGATGTTGAGAAACTGTTATTGGTGTGGATAAACGAAAAACAGAAAGCAGGAGATAGCATCTCTCAAGCGATCATGTGTGAAAAGGCTAGGAAGTTGCATGACGATTTAATTAGAAAAATGCCTGCAACTAGTGGTGATGTGAGTGAATTTAAGGCCAGCAAAGGTTGGTTTGAGAGATTTAAGAATCGTAGTGGCATACATAGTGTGATAAGGCATGGTGAGGCTGCCAGTTCGGACCAAAAAGCAGCTGAAAAATATGTGCAGGAATTCAAGGAGTACATAGACAGTGAAGAATTGAAACCTGAACAAGTGTTTAATTGTGACGAAACATGCCTGTTTTGGAAGAAAATGCCAAGCAGGGCCTACATTACTCACCTACACCATCCACATTCTCCCCATCCTCCCATCCCATCAATCATCACCAGATCTTCATTAACCCTTTGACTGTTGCCGGCCCCTTTCCGAAACTGTCATTCTATGTCGATAAATTTTTGAAAAAAAAAAAAAAAAAAAAAAAAAAAAAAAAAAAAAAAAAAAATTCTTATGAAATGATAGAGAATCTTTTCCTGATGGTAATGACACCAAAAGTATGAAATTGGTCGAAAACTCACGAAATTAGCGCTCCACGAAGTTAGCTCTGGACATATACGTATGCAAATTTCGCCGGCTGAGCCGTTCGACCAATCCAGCTGTCAAGTAGTAACGAACTATTTCTTAGAACCATTTTACAGTTAAAGTGAAGAAACCTGAACAAGTGTTTAATTGTACGAATAAGGCCTGTATTTGGGACAATTTCAAGAACCAATTACACAACCAATTCAACATTTCCCCATAACATTCCATCTCATCAAATCACATTTTCATTAACCCTTGACTGTTGCAGGCCCCTTTCGAAACTTTGTTCTATTTCGATTTTTAAAAAAAAAAAAAAAAAAATAACGAAAAAAAAAAAAAAAAAAACTCTTATTGTAAAATGATAGAGAAATACTTTCCGATGTAATGAACCAAAAGTCCAATTTGGTACGTATACTTGGATTATTTGCTTAGCCTACAAGTTTAGGTTCGGAATTACGTACGGCAATTTCGCCGATTGGCCCTGTTTACAGACAAATCTCATTTTTCGTAACCAAATTCTTCATTTATCATTGTTAGAACCCATTTTATCTATAGTTGAGTGAAGAACCCATTTACCGATTGAATACCCATAAAAGTGCTCAAATTTGGAATTTTGCCAATTTCACAAATTTATAAAGATGCCAATTCCAAAGTAGGGTCCCAAAAAACAATTTAGACATCTTCACTCAAATACACTTTCCAAGGTTCATTATCACTACTCTGGGCCCCTTTTATAATACATTCTTTCTTATATGATTTTATTCCATACAAGAAAATCAAAATTCCTGGTTTCCAGAACTACTGCATAATTGTATACAATGGTAAATAATAACGCACTAGTGAAAAACATTAGACTCCCAGTTGACGTGTATTGACTGTTTGGATTTGCTAGCCTGAACTTGTAAAAATCGAACATTTCTGGTATTTGAGCCTCGTTTCAAGGTCGTTCTCTATTGAAAGTAATCAACTCACTCTTTTCTGTCAACCTTACCCCACTTTTTCCAACTGACGGAACCCATGAAAACGATGAATTCACCGATTTCTTACTATACGAAATCCATTTTAATCGAAAAAAATAAAGTCAGATTTAATTTTGTCAGAGTTTTTTTTTTCTCATTACACACTGCGTGCTGCAGGATTTTTTTTGTGTGGTGCACACTGACCACACAGACCCATTCTCTCACATGTGGGCCTACCAGCTTTCTCCCGCTTGATTTGAAGCCGCTAGAATTTACGCGTATTAATACGTCAGAAACAGTGGCGCGTAAAACGTATATATACGGCGTAAACAGTCAAAGGGTTAAAGGTAAGTGTCAATTATTCTATTGTTATTAATCTATTGTTATT